ATAGTATTTTCTAATTGAGGTAAGATCGATTAACACTCTCCTACCTTATTTCTTTCCTTTTCTGTGTCTCGAAGGAAATGATGATAGATTAAAAATGGGAAAATCGTGCAGAAGTCCTAAGAAAGAGACTTTATTTATTTAAGGTCTCACAAAATGTCAAAATTATTAGCAGGTCCCAAAGGACCTTAGAGTATTTTATTCTAATTGTAAAATGACATCATTACCCCTCAGATTTCCAATTCACATTTTCTCTGCCATTACAATTAACAACCTCAGCAGTGACTATTAACAACCTAATGAGAAGGTATTGACAACCTAAATAGTATCCGTTGATAACTTATTTCATAGGATCACATAACCTCCATATAAGAGTAAATTATAACCAAATAGTATAATATAATAACTTTAATACTAAAATGAGAAGCTTTTCGAAACTATTAGGAACTTTAACTAAACCTAATAGGACTATAGTAAAATTTTAATATGGAGATCCATTGACAACCTCAACGGTGAGTATTAATAACACAAGGAGAGCTGTCGACAACCTAGATAGTGTCTGTTAACAACTGACTTTATAGGATAATATAACATCTACATAAGATCAAATTATAACTAAATAGTATAACATAACAACTACATAAGATGAACTTTAACCCCATTTAGTTATAATTTAATTCGTTATAGTTGTTAGAGGTTATATTATCCTATAAAATCAGTTATTAACAGACACTATCTAGGTTGTCAATAACTCTTCTTCGGTTATTAATACTCACCGTTGAGGTTATTAATGCATCTCCGCATTAAAATTTTGCTATAGTCCTATTAGGTTTAGTTAAAGTTCTTAATGATTTCGAAAAGCTTCCCATTTCAGTATTAAAGTTGTTGTATTATACTATTTGGTTATAATTTATTTTTATGTAGAGGTTATATGATTCTATAAAGTAAGTTGTCAACTGATACTGCTTAGATTTTCAACACGTTCTCATTGGGTTGTTAATAGTCATTATTGAGGTTGTCAATAGCAATAGCAGAGAAAATATGAATTGAGAATCTGAGGAGCAGTGGTGTCATTTTACAATTAGAATATAATACTCTAAGGTCCCTTGGGATCTGCTAGTAATTTTGACATTTCGTGAGACCTTGGAGGAATAAAATCTCTATGAGCCTGTTTGATTTTTTTTTTTAAAACAATTTTTTGTTTTCAAAAACATAAAAATAAAAAAATTTGTTGGGTAATTTGTTTTTAGGTACTTGTTTTAAAAAACAAAAAACAGTAATATGTTTTTAAAAACTAAAAAACTAAAACAATTTACACATGTTTTCTTGTTTTTATTTTTGTGTTTTTTATTTTTTGTTTTGAAAAATTTTCTTTTCTTTTCCGTTACTATCCACTACTTATCATTACTAGTGATAATTATCACCTACTAAGTGTGATTTTCTATGATTTTTTTTTCAAACATGATTTTTAAAATTATTGTCCAAACAAATTCTTTTGTTTTTTGTTTTCAAAACTTGTTTTAAGAAACAATTTTATAAAATTGTTTTGAGAACAAGAAAACAAACAACAAAAACAAACACGCCGCTAATCTTCCAGCCGCTGTTCTGCTATATGGCGCCAGACTCTATGGATTTTTTTTGTTTTTTGGCCAACCAAAGTCTATGAAATTTAAATGGGTGAAGTTTGCCGAATTGAAGGAGGTAGATTGGAGTCCAAATAGATTATACAGGGGTTTGCATGTCACTTTCTCCTTCAATTTTTTGTGTAACTCGTGACTGATCTGTGAAGATAATTTTATTGCTCTTCTTCTCTGGTTATTAGTCCCCGAAACAGGGGTAATGGTTCAAAGAGATGACTTGGGTTTAATGAGAAAATGAAGAGCATGAATGTGTGTGTCTGTGGGGGCTTAGAGAGTATAAATACGTATATATGTATAGAAACCTGGCAATGATGTGTGTGTGTGTGTGTGTACACACACATATGCTCGCGTTGCCGAAGTGGAAGAAAGGTTCATTAATGGATATACGTGTGTGTGTGAGTAAATATATATATATATATATATATATATATCGTGTAAAGGCCATGAGGTTCATATTGAGGAAGCTGGAACTGATTCCAAAATGAGTATTTCATGTTCTCAAGAGCTGTACAATGATTTTAGATGGTTAAATAATAAGTAGGAATTATTCTTGAACTTGGAAGTCTTGGATTAAATGTATTAAGTTGTCAACTATGTTTATTAGCAATTAGAGGATGAATAAGTGAATATGCTGGTTGCTCTCAAATATTAAATAGGTGCTTTCAAATATTAACTAAGGGGATTGTTCTTACAAGTGAAAGTCAAATACAATTTTTTTTGACCAAGATGACTAGTTATTAAAAAAGGAGAAACTTAGAGAATTGGGATTAAGAGGGGGAAAGAAAATTTTTAATGTCTTTAAATAAATTAATGAATATAATTTTTTTTTTTCAGGATGACCAACTATTAAATAAAAACAAATAGAGTTTATTAGTGGGCCAAGAGAAGTTATATTTTGACAACAAAAGTTAAATGAACTAAGTATTAAACCATTTATATATGAAGCTATATTATAGGTTTTGATATCTGTCTGAGCCTGCTAAGAAAGCAAGTAAAGAAGAAATCCAGAAAAGGTAAACCGAAAGAAGGGACTTCAGGTATTGACTCTTTTCCTCTCATATAATTATGCAATAATTCTGCATGCCTATTCTTGCCATAGTGCCTATATGCTATAATGAATATATGGTGAATATGTTTTGTGATAAACAATTGCTAGCTCGTAGAGCTATACTCAAGTATAGGTATGTGAAATTTGCTTTGCGTTGAGCTTGTAAAGCCGTACTTATAAGTGAGTATGTGAAATTTGCTTTACATTGAACTCGCAGAGCTATACTCAATCATGAGTATGTGACTTTTTTTGGTGTTGATTTAATTGTCATAGCCATGTGCATTGCAAAGTGTGGGATGCATGAGCATCATTAATTATATCTGTTTGCAAAGCTTATAATGTTTAAGCATCGTTGTTTATGCTTGGTTGCAAGTGCTGTTAATATGACTTGTTTTGTATGCATTTCTAAACTTTGTATAATTGTATGATGGATAACGGTTACTACTGAGATTCCTAGAATCTCACATCTTTCTTCTATGATACACAGGGAGGGCAAAAGGCTCTAAAGGCAAGGGAGTAGTTATTGAAGGAGTTTAACATGTTGGTAGCTGAAGTGATGAGACAGTTGGTCATCAAGTCTTATTTTGATATTTTAGTTATGTTTTGGTAGCCCTGTGTGGCTAAAGATATGTATATAATTATATGTAACTATGTGAAGTACTTATGAGCTATATAAACCTCCATAAAGAGGGAAGTAATAGTTTTTGTAGCTAGTAGGCAAGTGCCATCAGCTCAGATGATTGTATGATTATAGATGGATGTTTAGTTATTATTGTGAATTCAATATTAACTGTCTAGTTCAAAGTTGCTCTTTAATATTTGAGCCAAGAAATTAATTAAATATCTAAATCACTGAACAGATCATTCTGCAAATTGTTTTATAAAGTTTGAAAGTTTTTTTTAGAAATTTCATCTTTGATACAAGATCATACCCTGTGTTTGAGAAAAATATTAAAAAGTAATTTGATGAAAGTATTCTTCTTTCTTAGGACCAAACTTTACTCAGTGGTTCAACAGCTAATTAATTAACCATTTTGGTATGGTTATAGTAGATGTTATATCAATGCTATCATTTTTTTTATTAATAATTTCCGGGTTAAATGACTAAGAATGTATTTTTTAAATTAAAGAGACTAAATTAAAATATTGTATAGCGTTAAATAACTAAATGTATAATTTAGCCTATCATTAATTATTTATAATGCAATAATCTAATAACATCTTGATTATAATTTGGACTCGGTGCTATGTTGATGAAAAAATCATGTTCCGATGCACAATTTCACCAGTTTATAACACCCATTGATGGAAAAATATTGGGTGTTCACTGATCAATCACAACCCGCAAAAAAGGGGGCAAAAAAAACACAGTTGCAGATAATAATTCAAACTGTAAATTTAGAAGTTTTAATTAAAATCAAGACATTCAAATTTGAAAAGTAACTCTCAGCTTATAAATGAGATTCCTATTTGTAACTGTCTAATCGATGTTTACGAATGTCATTCCTCCAATAAATTTGAAGCACAAAAAAATATCACGAGAATGATACATGTTCCACTAATAGCTCTCTAAAGGCTTAATAAAGTAGGTTTGAAATTCTCAAGTATGTATTATTTGAACTTGCATGTATACCACAGAGAATTCAGAAACTCAAGTACGTTTGTGCAACCTGTTGCACCTAAAAGAACAGATGCAAAAGAAGCTTGCTATAGTCCTTCATAAGGGAATCAAAAGGATAAGATTTTGCACTGGGAACAATCAACCCTTTCAGCTTCTGGTTAGGAGTAAATAGAATGATGCAAGATATAATTAAAAACTTGCACATCAGAAAGGCAATCTTACGGTTAGTTTCATCTGAAAGAATTCATTGCTTGGCTCATAGAAATTAAACAATAGCAAGGGCTCAATTTAAACAAAAATCTTAATATGTCACAACAAAATATATTGGCTAATGGAAGTGCAAATATTACACTAAAAATAACCACAATGCGTCATAGCTAATTAATAGCAAAATTTAAATCAAAGGATGGATATTTCACAGACGGGAAAGAGGGAATTCAGTTTTGTAGCTAGTCATGATGAGCCGGATTAAATTTTGCAATTCAATCATAAGAAAGTAACTTTAAACATAAAACAGAGACCCTCAACTAGATTATATTGGGTAATTGAACAAAGAGAAACTAAGTTTGCTGACAAAAATAGCTTTCAACATAAAACAAATTAGAATTGGGCCATTAAGGAAGAAAGAAGAACGCCATGTTAAGACAAAAATTTCACAATGATAATGGAACAGAGTCAAAATAATTAGCTAAACACATGGCTTAAACAGAACATCAACAATAGTAAGATACACAACTTCAATAACAAACAAACAATAGAGGGTCTCACCCTGTTTCATTTTAACGACCCTTAGAAATCATCTTACGAAGAAGCTTCTCTGCCTCATCATCCTCATTTTTATCAAGAAGATGTCCAATAATAACTGTAAAAGTTGTCGTGTCTAGGACGTAGTCGGTGTCTTCCATTTTATTGTCAAGGAGGGCCTTTGCCTCGTCAAACAAACCCTCTTTACAAAGTCCTTTGATCATAATAGTATAGGACACAGCATTTAGATGCCGACCTTCCATCAAAAGATATTGAAAAATCTCTCTTGCCTTATTTAATCTTCCACTACTGCACAAGCCATCCATGAGAATATTGTAAGTGCGAACCGTAGGTTGAATATTCTTTTCGACAAGATGTTGAAATAATGCAATTCCTCGATCAATATCCTGCCTTTTACATAATGCATGTATCAAGGTATTATAAGTGATTATGTTAGGAGGATGACCTCTGTGATGCATCTCATCAAGAAGATCACGAGCAAATGAGATTCTTCCTGCTTTGCACAAGCCGTCAATCAGACAATTATAACTTGCTGTGCTGGGAACCAAATTTCTTGAACGCATTTTCTTAAAGAGATACATGGCCTCATCCAATCTTTTATTCTTACAACACCCATCAATCAAAATGTTATAACTCAACACATCTGGTCTCAAACCATTTTTAGTCATTTTATTAAATACTTCAATTGCTTCCTTTACATAGTTGACCTTACAATATCCACTCATTAAGCTGTTGTAGGAAATGACATCAGGCTTATGACCATACTTCATGATTTTGGCAAACATAACTTGACTTTCTATGATCCTTCCTTCTTTACAAAATGCATCCACGAATGTAGTAAGGGTGGTCACATCCATGTTGATACCTCTTCGAAACATATCATTGAGCAATTCAGTAACTTCTTCCCATTGCTGGATTTTGCAGAATCCATCCACGAGAGTGGTGTATGTGATAGTATCGGGAAATATTCCATTGTCAATCATTTCTGAGAACAAATCAAGTGCCTCTCTCACAAATCCCTCTTTACAAAGACCATCCATGACTGTGCTGTACATAACTACGTCAGCCTTCATTCCAAGTCCACGCAGCTTCTGGAGTAATTTGACAGCACATCTGGTTTTCCCCACCTTACATAATCCATTGATTATTATGCCGTAACTAATTTCATCCAAAAAATATCCTTTTGCAATTACCTCATCATGGAAATCCAATGCTTCCCCAATCATGTTGTTGATACAGAGTCCCTTCAATAGTGTAGTTAAAGTTATAGTATTCGGTTGAAAACCCATCTTAAAAATCTTCCCCAATACGGAGAAAGCACAATTCATCTGACCCACGTGGCCGTAACAGTTGATCAAAATAGCTAGAAAAGCTAAAGACGGAGTGAAACCCTTCAACTGCACCTGAGAACAAAGAGAAATAACGGTGGGATAATGCTTCATTTTGGCAATGGCCCCCAACATTTTGTCAATTGCAAAGATGGAGGGAGGGGGACGCTTACAAAGCGTCCGATTGAATGAATCAACCACATCTGTGATGTCGTTAGAATTTGAAGAATGGGAATGTAGGAGGAAGTCGAGACAAAAGGTATGAGGTAAATGGATAAGGAAGCGAGAAGAAGATGATGGAAGAAAGAGAGGAAACTGAAGGAAGGCGTACCTTGTAGCTTGAGAGAGCAACATCTTCACACAGCAAAATGAGATTTCAGCGAGAGACGGCCTTTTGAGGGTAAAGTCCGAACTCGGGAGGATGAATCCAGGGGTCTGCGTATGACTTCTCTCCGCTGCGTCCTTTTCTCCGCTGCCCTCCTATACCTAAACCTGCAACGTTTTGGGTGGAAAATAGCGTTCAATGCCTCTTTTTCCTTTTTTTTTTTTTTTTAAAAAAGATTCATTATCTTAAAATATTTTTAAAAAACACTTAATATTCTAAAATAATTTTTTTATATACTCAGCACCGTAAAATATTTTTTCAATAACACTCAGTATTTCAAAAATACCCTTAGCACTCAGTGTTATTGGAACCCAAAATTATTTAGGATACCACTGAAAAAATATTTTAAGGTGCTTATTATAACAAAAATTATTTTAAAACTCTAAATGCTCCTAGAAAAAAATATTTGAAAGTGTTGAGCATATTTTTAGGATACCGAGTATTACTGAAAAAATTATTTTAGGATATGGGGTGTTCTTGAAAAAATAATTTACGATATTGCTAAAAAACACGTGGGAGAAAAAAGCACATGGGTTAGCTTTGAAGTGTTTCGTTTCTTTGGGGCGTTTTTTGGCATCCTAAATTATTCTTTTAATATCTTAAAATAATTTTTGGCAGTCCCATAAACTTTTTTTTTTTAATAACATTCATTCAGTATCCTAAAAATATACTCAACACCCTCAAAAGGTTTTTTTCAGGAGCATTCAGAGTTTCAAAATAATTTTTTTAGTACAATAAGCACCCTAGTACATTTTTCAGTAGTATACTAGTATCCTAAAATAATTTTGGGTTCCAATAACACTAACTGCTGAATGTATTTTTGAAATACTGAGTGTTATTGAAAAGATATTTTATGGTTCTGAGTATATCAAAAAATTATTTTAAAATATTGAGTGTTTTTTAAAAATATTTTAAGACAATGAATCTTAATTAGAAAAGAAAGGAAGAAGCGTTGAACCCTATTTTCCACCCAAACGTCGTGGTTTTAGGTATAGGAGGGCAGCGGAGAAAAGGACGCAGCGGAGAGAAGCCATACGCGGTCTAGGGCGCCCTTTTCTTTTTTTCAACCTGAACTTATGAGTTGAATTTCTAATTTCAAAATTTTTGTAAAATGAAAAAACATTTTTAAAAGCTGATTCAAACAATTTAATGAAATCATGCATTGAATATTGTTTAACTGATATAATCTTCGTTAAGCTATTTAAAAATTAAGATATAAAATTTATTTTTATACATAAATAAAAATTAATTTTATTTAAAAAACCATAAAATAATTGTTATTTTTCTCAATGATAAATAAGGTTCTTAAAAAAATACTACCTCCAATCCTAATTATAAAACCTTGTTCGTAAATTTAAAAATTAAGATACAAATTTTTATTTTTATTACATAAATAAAAATTAATTTTATTTAAAAAAATACCACAAAATACCTGTTATTTTTCTCAATGATAAATAAGGTTTTGAAAAAAAAACTACCTACAGTCCCAATTATAAGACCGCGTTTGTAAATTACAAACAAGATCTTATAATTAAAATCTGAGGTATTAATAAATAGGTGGTGCTAATTATTCTTGTAGAGTTTTAAATGTCAAAATTATTTATTTGTTATTTTGAAATTCAACAAGAATTTTCTGTCGTTTTTCTTTTTATCTATTTATATTACTTTCTTGTGCTTTGTAATTTATGTTAAGTAATTGATTATTTTTTAAACTGAAATATCTATTCTAATTAGTTTTTTAGTTGTTTTTCATTGTATATATTTTTAATATTTTTCCTTGATTCTCACTATTCCAATCCCATTTGAATTTGGATGCAATAGAATTTTGAAAAAATTATTCTTATGTTACTTCAATTTTTAACTTATTTAGTCATTTATAACTTGGTTTCTTAAGTATGACTTTGAAAAATTCAATTAAATTTTAGCTTTTATAATTTGGTTTCTTAAATTTTTGACTCGTTTAAAATTAAGTTTTTATGTTATCAAATTTTTTATTAAAAAAATCATCATCCCTCCAACTCATAACTTAATTATTCTACACGTAAAAAAACTTTAATAATATTATTAAATGCATATATACATTTATAAATTCATCTATTAATACTTGTAAATTTTTTTATTAGTTGTTAATGTAAATCATAACTTGTGAATTTTTATTTAGATGAACAATTGTAATTTGGTGTATAAGAAAAAAGAACAATTGTAATGTTTTCCATCAAACTTAGGGAGCTCTGTTTATTACACATATAAGTTGTTGCATTATATAACATAATGACTTTAATAGATCAATGGTTGTGAGTGTTTGAGAAATTAATTTTGATGATTTCACAAATAATTATTATTTAATAATTTTTGTAGTAAATATTTTTAAAATTAGTTATTATTTTGTCAAGGAATTTAAAAGAAAAGGTTGAGCGGCTCATGACTGATTCGCTGATATAGTTCATGAAGAGGAGAGAATGGAAAAGGCCATTATAGATAGATAATGACATTTTAAAAATTAATTATAAATGCTTCCTTTATTAAACTTTTATAACAGTCCTGTTCATTAACAACCAATTGATAAGGCTTACAAATAGAATTTAAGAGTGTTTTTTCCTCCAACAAATCGTAAGAGTGTTATATGAAGCAAAATATTAATAAAACAAATCCATCAAATTTACTACAGATTTGAACTAAGCTGAAAATTTTGCATTGCTCATAGTTATATAATCACTTATACTAAATATAGGTTTTGTTTGTGCATCAATTATTATCTTTTAATGAATAACTATATCAATTATTGATATTATTAATTTATTGCCACGATACAATAAAATTATTAATTATTGATTAATATTTAGTTTTCAGATATAAATTATGAGATATTATTATAAATTCAGATTTTGCAAATCCACCTCATTCATTATTGATCATGCCTGTATCAAATTTTTTGTTGAATGGTCATACCATATATTGCTATAATTAATTGTCATTTCTAATAACGTATTAATACTATCAATTATTAATTAATATTATTTTTTTCTAAATATAAACCTTGGGGATGCTGAATATAGATTCAATCTTTGAAAGTTGCATAATTAGTTATTTATAAAGTGGGATAACATAATAATATCTTGATTTTAATTTGGACTTCATAATATGTCGATGAAAAATTCATGTTCCTTGCGCAGTTTCACAAGTTTACAACACCCTTTGATACACCCATTGATGGAAATATATTGGGTGTTCACTGATCAATTTCAAACAGCAAAAACGAAAAAAAAAAAATTGTTTTTCTTTTAAAGAACTTACTAACAATTAGGATTCAAAAACCTGCAAACAATTTTTTCTAAAAAAAAAAATTACATTTAGTTGGTCATGTTGTAAGTAGAAAGAACTAGTCCCTAATAACATAACAAACTAACCCCGGGCCAACTGTCCCACCCATTGAGGTGCCTACAAGCCAGCGAAGGGATTAGTTACCGGGTCCGCCGGTGGATACCCTGATGTTTCATTAAAAAAAAAAATATAACAAACTAATATTTGAATCCCTACTAAGAAATATGTTCATATTTAATGCGCAACTATATCTTAAATATAATTATTTTGAAAAGAATACATGTCATCAATCAAAAAGGAAAAACAAAAAACCAATGCCTAAACTTGTTAATTTCAGATTGTACATTGCCAAAATTATTTTTTTTAAAAAAAAAATCTGAACCTAATATCAGTTAAGTGACTATGCTAATAATGTATGACCAAGCATTTATCTAATCTAAAACTCAGCAATCTCCAACATGAAGCTAGAAAGTTAATGCCAAATAAAATATCGGGATTTGATACACATGAAGTTAAGATCAAAAGCAAGAGAAACTTCATGCCAATGGAAGTAGACAATCTCATTTGAACTTGCATGTATATTATAGAGAATTCCGGAACTCAAGTGTGTTCGTGCAACTTAGTGAACCTTAAAGAACATATGCAAAAGAAATTTGCTTGCTAAAGTCCTTCATAAGGGAAACAAAAGGATAAGATTTTGCACTTGGAACAATCAACCTTTAAGCTTCTGGTTAGGAGTACATAGATTGATGCAAGATATAATTAAAAACTTGTACATCAGAACGGCAATTATACAGATAGTTTCGTTTGAAAGAATTCATTACTTGGCTCGTAGAAATTAAACAATAGCAAGGGCTCTCAATTTAAACAACAATCTTAAAATGTCATAGCAAAATATATTGGCTGATGGAAGTGCAAATTTTCCACTAAAAACTCTTCAGTCAAGGTAAAAGTTATTAAACCACAATGCGTCATAGCTAATTAATAGCAAAATTTAAATCAAAGGATGGATATTTCACAGACGGGAAAGAGGGAATTCAGTTTTGTAGCTAGTCATGATGAGCCGGATTAAATTTTGCAATTCAATCATAAGAAATTAACTTTAAACATAAAACAGAGACCCTCAACTAGATTATATAGGGTAATTGAACAAAGAGAAAATAAGTTTGCTGACAAAAATAGCTTTCAACATAAAAAAAATTAGAATTGGGCCATTAAGGAAGAAAGAAGAACGCCATGTTAAGACAAAAACTTCACAATGATAATGGAACAGAGTCAAAATAAATTAGCTAAACATATGGCTTAAACAGAACATCAACAGTAGTAAGATACAACAACTTCAATAACAAACAAACATTAGAGGGTCTCACCTTGTTTCATTTTAACGACCCTTAGAAATCATCTTATGAAGAAGCTTCTCTGCCTCATCATCCTCATTTTTATCAATAAGATGTCCAATAATAACTGTAAAAGTTGGCGTGTCTAGGATGCAGTCGATGTCTTCCATTTTTTTATCAAGGAGGGCCTTTGCCTCGTCAAACAAACCCTCTTTACAAAGTCCTTTGATCATAATAGCATAGGACAGAGCATCTAGATGCCGACCTTCCATCAAAAGATATTGAAAAATCTCTCTTGCCTTATTTAATCTTCCACTAGTGCACAAACCATCCATGAGAATATTGTAAGTGCGAACCGTAGGTTGAATATTCTTTTCGACAATATGTTGAAATAATGCAATTCCTCGATCAATATCCTGCCTTTTACATAATGCATGTATCAAGATATTATAAGTGATTATTTTAGGAGGATGACCTCTGTGATGCATCTCAACAAGACGATCACGAGCAAATGAGATTCTTCCTGCTTTGCAAAAGCCGTCAATCAGACAATTATAACTTGCTGTGCTGGGAACCAAATTTCTTGAACGCATTTTCTTAAAGAGATACATGGCCTCATCCAATCTTTTATTCTTACAACACCCATCAATCAAAACGTTATAACTCAACACATTTGGCCTCAAACCACTTTTAATCATTTTATTAAATACTTCAATTGCTTCCTTTACATTATTGACCTTAAAATATCCACTCATTAAGCTGTTATAGGAAATGACATTAGGCTTATGACCATACTTCATGATTTTGGCAAACATAACTTGACTTTCTATGATCCTTCCTTCTTTACAAAATGCATCCACGAATGTAGTAAGGGTGGTCAGATCCATGTTGATACCTCCTCGAAACATATCATTGAGCAATTCAGTAACTTCTTCCCATTGCTGGATTTTGCAGAATCCATCCACGAGAGTGGTGTATGCAATAGTATCGGGAAATATTCCATTGTCAATCATTTCTGAGAACAAATCAAGTGCCTCTCTCACAAATCCCTCTTTACAAAGACCATCCATGACTGTGCTGTACATAACTACGTCAGCCTTCATTCCAAGTCCACGCAGCTTCTGGAGTAATTTGACAGCACATCTGGTTTTCCCCACCTTACATAATCCATTGATTATTGTGCCGTAACTAACTTCATCCAAAAAATATCCTTTTGCAATTACCTCATCGTGGAAATCCAATGCTTCCCCAATCATGTTGTTGATACAGAGTCCCTTCAATAGTGTAGTTAAAGTTATAGTATTCGGTTGAAAACCCATCTTAAAAATCTTCCCCAATACGGAGAAAGCACAATTCATCTGACCCACGTGGCCGTAACAGTTGATCAAAATAGCTAGAAAAGCTAAAGACGGAGTGAAACCCTTCAACTGCACCTGAGAACAAAGAGAAATAACGGTGGGATAACGCTTCATTTTGGCAATGGCCCCCAACATTTTGTTAATTTCAAAGATGAAGGGAGGGGGACGCTTACAAAGCGTCCGATTGAATGAATCAACCACATCTGTGATGTCATTAAAATTTGAAGAATGGGAATGTAGGAGGAAGTTGAGACAAAAGGTATGAGGTAAATGGATAAGGAAGCGAGAAGAAGATGATGGAAGAAAGAGAGGAAACTGAAGGAAGGCGTACCTTGTAGCTTGAGAGAGCAACATCTTCACATAGCAAAATGAGATTTCAGCGAGAGACGGCCTTTTGAGGGGGAAGTCTGAACTCGGGAGGATGAATCTAGGGCGCCCTTTTCTTTTTGGGAGAATTTCACTGAAGGACCGCAGAATACAATTAATGTCAAAAAGCCCCAGAACTTTCTAAAACCTCACTGCAGGACCAAGGGGCCAATCTGATATTAATTTCACAAACGAAATGATGCCATTGCCCCTCATTTTACTTCCTCTGAAATTTGAAAATGAGGCAAAAAAGCGACGGTCAAAAGTCCTCCCGCTCTCTCTCTATGCGAACGTGATCCCACTGTGCGAAAACTCTTCCCTCTCCTGATTTGCGAACGTGCAACCACTCTGGGAAAACTGTAGCGTCTCCCGGTCTGCGGACGTGCTACCACTCTGCGAAAAATCTGCCCTCTCCCGACTGCGAACGTGCTACCTCTGTGGGAAGATTCTTGCCTCTCGCAATCTGTGAAAAGTGTTCGACGTGGCTCCCAAAAATTCCATTAGCTTCAATCTGCGGGTTCGTGGTAGTCACTAGAAGCTGAAGGAGAATAAGAAGAGGCCGACAAAATAGGAAACTCACAAGGCTATCGACAAAGAAGGAAGAAGCAGGGCGAGAAGAAGTCACTGATTTCCTTTGGTAAGCTTCGCGGTCCCCATTAAATGCAGTAGATTTCTTCGATTCTGTTTTCATGGTAGGTTAAGGAGGAATGACCCACTGAATGGTGGGTGTGTTTGGTAACGACATTTAGGTTCTAACCTAGGAATGATTACCAATGTGTCACATAGTGTTCGGTCGTCACCCCTACTGCCCTTTAGCAAATGCTCCTGATTTAGTGAGCGAAGGCTTGTGAGTGTAACATGAAGAGTTTGTGTGGGAGCTAAGTAAGAAAGTTATTAATTATTTAGGGAAAAATTAGTGTTGGTAGTTAACTTTATTGCTATAGTGTTTGTAGGCATTTTGCAGGAATTAAGAAAAGAATTGGGAGGGGCAAATGTTGTCGTATGGATTAGGCAAATGAGTTTGTTTTGTTTGGTTTATCCTGTTGATTGTTGGAATGTGAGATTTTGTGGGCTAACAATAGGAGTTAGTCAATTGACGTGAAGAATTAGTTGACTAACCAGTTGCATGTGACAACCTCATGTTTGCATATACCTGTCAAGTTAGGCAATTTACATGAAGAATCAATAAATTACTAGCTATGTTTGTTGGAATCTGATCTGTAGTGGCCTCACAAGGAAAATTAGGCAATTGACATGAGGAATTAGGGGTTTATCCAGTTAGCTTCTGTCAAACGGTTTCATGTTTCCGGGAATCTGTCAAGTTAGGCAATTTACATGGAGAATCAATAAATTACCCACTATGTTTGTGGGAATCTGGTTTGCAGTGGCCTCACAAGGAAAATTAGGCAATTGACATGAGCAATTAGCTGAATTTCCACTTAGCTTCTGTGTAACTGCTTGATGTGTGTTGGACTCTGGAAGTTGGGAAATTTACATGAACAATCAGTAAAGTAACAACTTGCAATTCAAAATTTCATGTTTGTTGGCATGTGATCCGTAGTGGGCCTCACAGGAGAAATTAGTCAATTGGCACGAGGATTTAGGGGATTATCAGCTAGCTCCTGTCTAACGGTTTCATATTTCGTAGAATCTGTCAAGTTAGGCAATTTGCATGGAGAATTAGTAAATTACCACTAAGTTTGTGGGAATTTGGTGTGCAGTTACCTCAAAGGGAAAATTAGGCAATTGACACCACCAGTAAGCTGAATTTCCACTTAGCTTATGTGTAACTGTTTGATGCGTGTTGGACTCTGAAAGTTAGGAAATTTACCTCAATAATTAGTTAATTAACCACCTCTGTTGCATAATTGCATGTTTGTGGGAATCTGGTTTGCAGTGGCCTCACAGGGAAAATTAGGCAATTGACACGAGCAATTTGCTGAATTTCCACTTAACTTCTGTGTAACTGCTTGATGTGTGTTGGACTCTGGAAGTTAGAAAATTTACATGAACAATCAATAAAGTAACAACTTGCAATTCAAAATTTCATGTTTGTTGGCATGTGATCCGTAGTGGGCCTCACAGGAGAAATTAGTCAATTGACACAAGGATTTAGGGGATTATCCGCCTAGCTCCTGTCTAACGGTTTCATATTTCGTGGAATCTATCAAGTTAGGCAATTTGCATGGAGAATCAGTAAATTACCCACTAAGTTTGTGGGAATTTGGTGTGTAGTTGCCTCATAGGGAAAATTAGGCCATTGACACCACTAGTGAGCTGAATTTCCACTTAGCTTATGTGTAACTGTTTGATGCGTGTTGGACTCTGAAAGTTAGGAAATTTACCTCAACAATTAGTTAATTAACCACCTCTGTTGCATAATTGCATGTTTGTGGGAATCTGGTTTGCAGTGGCCTTACAGAGAAAATTAGGCAATTGACACGAGTAATTAGCTGAATTTCCACTATTCTTCGGTATAATTGTTTGATCTGTGTTGGAGTGTGAAAGTTAGGAAATTGGCATGAAAAAGTAGTTAATTAACCACCTCTGTTGCATAATTTCGTGTTAGTTGGAATCTGATCTTTTACGGCCTGACAATGAATGTTAGCTAATTTACATGAAGAATGGTGTCATTATCTAGTTAACCTGCATGTAACAATTTGATATCCTATCGTATGACAAGTAAAGTTAAGGATTTAACAATAACAATTAGTGTGTATACAATTTTCGGGTTTATGTAACAAGAAATGTTGGATGGTATGAATTTTGAAGTGCTGTTTAATCTACTAACTAATGACTTTGTGATTATTGGATAAAGGAATAAGATGGGAAAAAAAGGATGCACAAGTTACCGGCTGGAAAGTATTCAAGGGAGAATATTGGGAGCAAAAGAAGCAGGAGATGCATGGAAATATGAAAGCAATCACAGATGTGGCTTCAGCAATTTGGAAGGAGATGAGTGATGCTGACAGGGAGCCGTACAGGAAGAAGGAGCAACAACTGATAGAAGAGAAGAAGAAGAAGAAGAAGAAGGAGAAATATGTGTCCCCATTTTCTACTCGGTGCTCCCCCACAAAATTCAAGGAAGTAGCAAACTTTATAAATGGTAAAGAAAATTTAAAGCGCAAGGTAGAAGAAAAGGGGTTTGGTCATCTTCTTGGTATTACTTTGAATAAGCTGCCTAGAGATTTATGTCTGGAGTTGATTCATGCATATGACCCCCCAAATAAACAAATCACCATAAGGGGGAAGACAAAGAAGGTAACTGGTACAGATGTTAGGAGGGTTCTTGGGTTACCAGATAAGGGCTCCAAAGTGAAGTTGGATGGCTTCAAGGATGAAGTAAATGAGCTGAAGAAGGACTATACTCCACTGACATATTCTCAAATTGCGGAGAAGATAAAGAGTGATGAAGAAGATGGAAACTTTAAATTCTATTTTGTTCTTTTCACAGTGGGCACTCTTCTTTGTCTCACGGGAAGTGCAAGTGTGAGTGAGAAGGTGCTAAAAGTAATGGCCTACACAGCAAATAACTGGCAAAATTTTGACTGGGCTTCCTTTGTGCTTGACGAGCTCAGTGAAGAAATTAAACGGTACAATAGGAGCAATAAGGAAGGACAGACCGAGAGTGCCAGAATTGTTGGAGGGTGCATCTACTTTTTATTGGTACTTACATATTTCCTTACAAAATATGCCTTGTTGGATATGGTTTGACCATTAAACTGTTAATGTATTATGTAATTTGATTTTTGAGTCATATTTTTTCTTTCTCTATAGCTGTACTTCCTACACAGGTTCCCTCTGCAGGGAGGTGAACCAAAAGACAAAGACGCCGTCAGACATTGGGATGATAAGGCTATGAAGAGTAGAATTGACGCGGAAAAGGAGATTTGACATGGCATTTTCTACAATCCACCCACTGCTGAAGTGAATGAGTCAACACAACCGGGGAGCAACAGAAGTTTCCATCATCCAGTGAGTAATGCCAATGTGGTAATGTCTGTTGGTCAGACTTAATATCTGTTTGATGACATACATTTACAATGTGCAGGACATTAAGGAGTTTTGGGTCAATTTCAACAACACATTGAACAATGAGATGGCCCAAATTCAAAACTTTGTTTGTGATGAATTAGTCAAGCTGCAAAAAAAAAATTCTTAACCGAGGAGGCAATGAAGAAGAAGGAAAAGAATACCACACTGAGGAGGATGAAAATGAGCGGCCATAACTTGATAAAGTTATGATTGTAAAGGGTGGAGAAACACATGAAAGTAGTGACAAATCGCATGATGATGAATAGCAAGAAGAAGAAGAGGAAGATGAAGACGAGAATGACAATGTGAGAGAAGATGAAGCTGTAGAAAAGGATACTGAAGATGAACAGGCAACTGAAACTGAAGAAGGGAAAATGGTGGGCAAAGTAGTGCAACTACCCATAAGGAGGTCAAGTAGACGTAAACTCCCAATAGTTAAATCTCCTTACATGTCTACTTATGGCAGAAAGGTGAAAATGAGTGACAGGGATGCATTTTATGCTGTGTGTACTGAGTGGTGTCAACTAGATGAGGCTCAAGAGTAAGTATAGTCAGTTATTATAGAAAAGACAGCCTGTAAATAATACTACTATGCAACACTGACTACTTATTTTCACTTTCATATTTGTTGTAGGGTCATGGTAGATATGTTTGGGCATTTGGCAATACGAGCAAACCTACAAGCACTGGGTCCTAGAAGGTGGATAAGCAACAGGGTACGTGCACCTGTTCAATTTACATCAAAGTGGCCATATATGGAATGTGCCACATTTTTAATTTAATTTTCCTACTCCTTTATTCTGCAAATCATGACTCTGATTGCCCACACCTTGAATGCTGACCAACAGGAGAGTGCCTCTGCGGTTAAAAGACACATATTTGATGCAAATTTCACGGTTAGTGTTATCCCCTGTTAATGGATCAATGCTTTAAATTGTGCAATCAAGTTATCAGTACAGTTTCTTCACTGACAATTTGTATTGCTGTGCAATTTGCTGTTGTGATAGGCAAGGATGGTGTAGCAACACATAGCATGGCAAGTGGACAAACATCTGAAAGAACTACTCCCCCAACACCTAGGATACAATTTGGCTAAATGTGAATACATATTTGCACCTGTTGTGTTTGCACTGTATTGGTTTTACTTTGTGTTTGAATCGAGCACAATAAAGTTTTATGTGCTGGACTCTCTACGTGGTAGTGAGGATACAATGAAGCACCAAAAGAAGAAGAATAAGTCTGATCCAGCATTAAAAGGGCAGCAAATGATGGCGCAAACTTTTGTAAGTGTTGTGATTATTCTGCTACTTTTGTGGACAACCATAGTATCCCCTGTGTGATAATCATTTGTAATTGTGTAGAGGGCACATTTCATTGAAATACTACAGAGAGTGAAGCTTGAGCTGGAGGCTTTGGCCAACCCAAATTCAAACAATGACATGTTGTATCCCACGGTTCATGTTCAAGACAATACGTGAGTCTTTTATTCACTGTAAGTTATTTGTCATAAATTATAATTTACATAAATAAGCCAACATAATGATGTGTTCATTTTTTCAGTGATGATTGTGGGGTTCATGTCATCACATATCTAAGAGAATGGCCCGACCCACAAGAGAAGGATGGAGTTCTATTCACCATGCCTTATTATACAGCAGTAGGTGTTGAATTATATGTTAATGACATCATGCATTTGTATCAACTTACTGAGAACAGTTATTGTTGTCCCATAGGATCAATACACATCTATACGGTGTGAGCTGTTGTGGTAGCTCGTGACTCATAAAAGAAATATCAAGTTAGATGCTGTTGCCAAACACCTTGACCAAATTAACAAACAACGCAAGAGAAAGCGATAACTGATCAAATTCCTACCTTGTAGTTTTTGTTGATAAGCACTGTAATTGTTGTTGTGAACACTTTATGTGGACTTAAATGTTGTGCATACAAAAGAAGTTAATAAAGTCTGTTTTGATGGATTCATATTATCACTACTTGTTTACTTTCATTAGATGTACGGTTGACAACAGAAATTAGGGAATTTGCAACAACAAAACAGGAATTAACACCAAATGTTCGTCCATTTCCAACTGAACAACCTACATTAAGGATTAGACCTTTGCACGAACGATTAGACAATTTGTAAGAGAGACAAATAAGTTAACAACAACAATTAGACCATTCACAAGTGTCGTTCATCAGCTGAATAACGTGTCCTCTTAAATATACAAGTGCCCTCCTTCACCTGAATAAGGTGTCCATTTCCATGTGGAACTAGGGAATTTGCAACTCCGATAAATATATTCACAACTGGAATCAATCCATTTACATGTGCCATCCTTGACCTGAACAGGGTGTCTGGTTGCAAGGGGGACTAGCCAATTTGCAAGACACATAATTGGCTTCACATGTGGAATCAGTCCATTCACATGTGGACTGGTTCAGCTGAAACATGTGTCCGTGATGGAACAAGTGGGGGAGAGCACATGTGCAAGGGGAACTAGCCAATTTGTAACAGACATACCTATATTCACACGTGGAATCAGTCCATTCACATTTGCAAGGGGGACTAGCTAATTTGCAAGACACATACCTGGCTTCAGATGTGGACTGATTCACCTGATGCATGTGTCCGACTTAACTGTGGGAGAGCCCATTTGCAAGTGGGACTAGACAATTCGCACCATACATGCATATTTTCACAACTATAAAATAGTCCATTTGCATGTGACCTACTCGTACTGAAGGAGGTGTTCGTGAGTGAACAGGTGTGCGAGGGCCTATTTGCAAATGACACTAGACAATTTGCAACATAGGTACATATAGTTACAACTAAAAATAGTCTATTTGCATGTGGACTGATTTACCTGGAGAAGGTATCTAAGTGTGGTTTCGTATACCATTTGCAAGTGACATTAGACAATTGGCAACACACATACATATATTCACAACTGTAATCAGTCCATTTACATGTGACGACCCTCACCTGAAGAAGCTGTCCGTCAGTGGACAGGTAGGAGAGAGCTCGTTTGCAAGTGACATTACACAATTCGCAACACACCTGCATATATTTACAACTAAAAATAGTCCATTTGCATGTGGACTGATTTACCTGGAGAAGGTGTCCAAGTGTGGTTTCGTATACCATTTGCAAGTGACATTAGACAATTGGCAATACACATACATATATTCACAACTGTAATCAATCCATTTACATGTGACGACTCTCACCTGAAGAAGCTCTCTGTCAGTGGATAGGTAGGAGAGAGCCCGTTTGCAAGTGACATTACACAATTCGCAACACACCTACATATATTTACAACTAAAAATAGTCCATTTGCATGTGGACTGATTCACCTAGAGAAGGTGTCCAAGTGTGGTTCCATATACCATTTGCAAGTGACATTAGACAATTAGCAACACACATACATATATTCACAATTGTAATCAGTCCATTTACATGTGATGGCCCCTCACTTGAAGAAGCTATCCGTTAGTGGATAGGTAGGGGAGAGCTCGTTTGCAAGTGACATTACACAATTTGCAACACACCGACATATATTTACAACTAAAAATAATCTATTTTCAGGTAGACTGATTCACCTGGAGAAGGTGTCCAAGTGTGGTTCCTTATACCATTTGCAAGTGACATTAGACAATTGGCAACATACATACATATATTCACAACCGTAATCAGTCCATTTACATATGACAACCTTTACCTGATGAAGAAACTATTTGTCAGTGGACAAGTAGGAGAGAGCCCGTTTGCAAGTGACATTACACAATTTGCAACATACATATATTTACAACTAAAAATAGTCCATTTGCATGTGGACAGATTACAGCCTAACATAACCTGGGATAGCTATAGTCACCTACTGTCATAAAATTTTTCAACTATTGACAGCACTATACAAAATATAATCCAACCCACCACAAAAAAATCAAAATGGGTTGTCATAGCTACATAGTGGGGCTCATTTATGTACAAAAGTAGCTGTGTATTGAACCAAAAAAATAAAAGACTATTTTCAGCAACAAAGTCACTTAGGGTTCGGGTTTCTGCAAGTCTTTCTAGTGTGACCAACTTCACCACATCCTGAGCATTGATACAGTTTCTTCTGTTGCAATTGTGATTCAATCCTCCTAACTCTGGGTCTTCCAATACGACAAGCTGTCAATGGTGGTTGTAGGAAGATGGTGGACGAGTAATCTTCATATCGAAGGGAATCTGGCTTAAGGATGTCATGAGTCTCAATTGGAATCATGAGTCTGCCATAAAGTTTCTTTTAGGCTGAGAGTAAAAAGCAATCCTCGACATATGCATATATATTACCATATACCTTCTTGATTGCAGCACATTTGCCAACCTTTACAGGTGCATTCACGTAACACAAGATTTACCCGCACATCTAGGTTTCCCCATCTGACCCTAAAATTGTTCATTCCATAATCTTGCACATCCATTCTTTCTGATCTGACCACATGATCCATCAACTTTTCCTATATATTAGGTCCCACACCACTGGTCTAATTCTTCATGGCTTCTTTGCTGTGGTACATCTTGTTTGCCAATTTTTCCCTGTGCTCATGTATCAAGACAACTATGTTGTGCTTCCTCTCACCAACAAGCCAAGCATTAAAGGATTCAGCTAGATTTGTTGTGATATTGTCCCACCTCTTGTAAGAAAATTTTCTTTGTGCCCAACACTCAATATCTCCATTTGTTTGAAGCCATTGTCCCAATTCTGGACAAAATCCCATTAGCTTTTTCATACTGCGATCAAAGTCTCCATCAAGTCTTGCGTATGCAATAGAATCAAGTAATTTTAGTGCAACTTCCTTTGTCTGGTCCTCCTCTTTCCCCTGGTTATCTTTAAGAACTTAGCACTGTAATTCTCCTTCACATAAGGGTAGCAAAAAGCATGTCGATCTCTTCTAAACACGGCTTGCACTGCACCTTTTATTGAGTTGTGTCTATCTGATACTATTGTCACTTCTAATGATCCCGTAATATCCTTTATGTTACCAAGAAACCATGCACAATCATCAAGCGTCTCACCTCCAATAATCACATATGCAAGTGGGAATAATTCATTATCCATGTCATACACTTGTGCTCTCAATAACGTACCTTTGTACGGACTACTCAAGTGGCATCTATCTACATATAATATAGGTCTACCACCTTTCAAAAACCCTTCTACACAGCAACCATATGCAAGAAATACGGCTTGAAATCTATTATCTGATGATGCAACCCACTTTGCTACCGTTTCTGGATCACTTTCTTTTAGCCTTTCACATATCCAAGGGATTAGCATATAAGACTCCTGCGGACAACCATGAATTTTTGCCAATGCTTTCTCTTTCGCCCTATATGCTTGTTGGTAGTTGAGGCTCAATCCATACTCTCTTTCCAAATCCCGTCTAATGTCATTTGGAGCTTTGTGCATGCAAGAAATCAACTCATCCATTATGACTACTGAAGCAAGTTTCCACCTCTTTCTCTGAGGGACAACTAAGTTGTCTTGTGCATAATGCAAGTGTTCACTATTAAATCTTCTCACAACTAGGAATCCATTCTTCTCATCTACACCATATGCTGAAATTTCCCAGGGACAACCATCTACACAGCACTTCACAATCATCTTATGCCTATTATTCTTTACATACCGGTAACCAAAGTTGTGTGTAAGGCTATACTTATATAATGCCTCTCTAAAATGTTCAGCACTAACAGAGGTTTGCCCTTTTGACATCAACAAATTTGCCCACTTTGATAAATTCATTACTGCTATTGGGGTTGGCAACATTTCCATACCTACACTTCATATCAGTGTTGGCACATCTTGTATAGGAGATATGTTTATGTTGTCTGTGTCTAGATCCAATTCAATTGGAGATACTGACATTCCACAAGGGCCAACCAAATCATCTAACCTGCATAAACAAATACAGCTATTGAGTATTACGGTTCAATTTATCAAAATTGGACAGATTTCTTATCCTACACACAATCTTAATAAAACCAGTTGAAAACAACTTACTCTTGTACACTGTCCAGCTGTGACACTTGTGTGAAGTCTTTCTCATTCTCACAAACATAAACATGGCCACTACTATTGTTGTACTCAATTACTTGTCCAACACCAATATCATCAACAAGATCCAAGAATGTGTCCCGGTCAAAGCTAACTATGTGCTTCATTTTATATTCATAAGCCCCTGGTCACGCATCATGAGCTACCATGCATTGTAGTTCTTCATATGTCATCCCTTCTCTAATCAATCTTCCAATAATGATGCCCCCTTCATAAATGAATTTCCCTTCTGAGGTCTTTACAAAGTGCCCTCCAACATGAAAGATGCAAAATACTTGTTTCCCACTACTGCTAGCCATTTATCCTCTGCTGCTGCACATCATTCAAGTATGACACAGTGTACATTTACATCAGCAATTTGACAATTGACAACAAGAATTAGTATTTTCGCAACATTATATTGCTTTTTCTCGTACACAACTAGAATTAGCAAATTTACCATCGTACTATATATTTTCACCATTCATCTGCGCATCTACCTGTCATATAACCCATTCCAGCCCACACACCCATTTCCCTTTCATTTCCGCCTACCTAAGTTCCTTCAGCAGCGCATTATATTCAATATGCACCCACTTTTCAAAACATCACAAACACCACATCTTTAACAACTTAAAACAGCATGAGCATGAATTTCTTAAACCATAAACACCGTCAGATTTGTAACTCACTCCCAACCTACATACCCATGCACTTAAATACTCATTTCTTCCTCATTCACCCATCACAACCCACCTGTGCTAACCAAATCACACCAACAAAACCAAAATTTTGACAACAAAATCTTACCTCCCACATCAGCCTGACGCTACTTCCAGAGAAGACGCAACACTATAGGGCACACTTGCGATTTCTCTCTCTAGTACCAACTCTAGCTTAGAGTCCGAAAGACGGCAGAGGGACGGACCTCAAAAGTGAAGCTCCGCCACTGCGTTTTCTCAGCTCATGGTTGTCAGCTATCTCCCTTCCGCACCGGTGCGTTGCATGGGAAAGGTAGGAAATAATGCCATCTCCCCCCCTTTTCGTCTTTCTTCCGTCTTTTACACCCGCTGATAATATGTCTCATTTTCGGAGGGAAATAAGTTTTTACTAGGGGCAGTGGCATCATTTCGTTTGTGGAATTAATATCAGATTGGCCCCTTGGTCCTACAGTAAGGTTTCAGAAAGTTTTGGAGGCTCTTTGACATTAATTGTATTCTGCGGTCCTTCAGTGAAATTCTCCCTTTCTTTTTTTCACCTGAACTTGTGAGTTGAATTTCTAATTCCAAAATTTTTGTAAAATGAAAAAATATTTTTAAAAGCTGATTCAAACAATTTAATGGAATCATGCATTGAATATTGTTTAACTGATATAATCTTTGTTAAGCTATTTAAAAATTAAGATATAAAATTTATTTTTATTACATAAATAAAAATTAATTTTATTTAAAAAAACCATAAAATAATTGTTATTTTTCTCAATGATAAATAAGGTTCTTAAAAAAAATACTAACTTCAATCCTAATTATAAAACCTTGTTTGTAAATTTAAAAATTAAGATACAAATTTTTATTTTTATTACATAAATAAAAAATTAATTTTATTTAAAAAATACCACAAAATACCTGTTACTTTTCTCAATGATAAATAAGGTTTTGAAGGAAAAAAAACTACCTGCAATCCCAATTATAAAACTTTGTTTATAAACTACAAATGAGATCTTATAATTAAAATATTGTTATGAATATAATAATATCTTTGTGAATGTCCATATATCTCCTATTATCTCCTATATTTCCTATAATCTCTAATATCTCCCATTATCTCTATATCCCACAATTATCTCCTATTATTATGTAATCTGTAGATTCTATCAGAGGAGTAAAGCTGTGCCTATAAATAGAGGCCATGTATAATATATTGAGTACTCTTGAACGGAATGAGAAATATTCTCTCTTGTTGATCCTCTCTTCCTCTATATAATTCTTCTCTATTTCTTCTTTATTCATAACACGTTATCATCACGAAGTTCTAACAAGGTGTGTATGATATACTTTTCTATCCCATCATAATTTTAGAGCATCATCTTTATTATTTTTCTAGAGTATCATTTGCTCTGTTCAAATAAAAATACCTCGAGCATCATATATATGGTGTTTTAGAGTATCTGTATTCCTATTCAATTTATGTAGGATAATCTAAGTCATTATATGGAATTAAAAAGATTATCTACCGTTGTTTTAAACATCAGGTTCCATGGCTATGATTGGAGATTCCCCCCCCCCTTATTTCTTATTAACCTGATGTCACTATTTTGATGGAACCCGAACTTCCAATAGATACTAGCAGTATCTGTAAAGATTTACCATCTAAAGTTAAATGGCCAGAAACCATATAATTCTAAGTTTTCATCTCATTTTAATTAAATGGCCAGAAGCCATATAACTCATATTTTTTATTCTTTTCAAATTAAATGGCTAAAAGCCATATGATTTTGATTTTTCATATTATAGCCAGAAGCTATACAACTTTGAGTTTTTATCTTGTGGCTAGAAGCCATATATATATATATATATATATATATATGGGGTTAATTCTCTATTTTTTTAAATGACTTGAAGCCATATATATTTGATATTTTATCTTATTAAATAACTAGAAGTATTTAGGTATAAATTTTCCATCTTATGGCTAGAAGCCATATATATTTGATTACTGTTATCTTATTAAATGGCTAGAAGCCATGTAATTTGAATTTTCTATTTTATGGGCAGAAGCCATATATATAATTTTGTTTTATCTTATTAAATGGCTAGTGGCCATATAAATTTGATTTTCTATCCTACGACCAGAAGCCATAGATATTTGAATTTTTTTTATCTCATTAAAAGGCTAGAAGCCATATAATTTGTATTTTCTATTTTATGGCCAGAAGCCATATATATATTTAATTTTTCTTTATTTATATGTATCATGTTGAATTTTCTATTTTATAGCCAGAAGCCATTTATATATATTTAATTTTTCTTTTATCTTATTAAATGGTTCGCATTCATATAATTTTGATTTTCTATCTTATGACAAGAAGTCATAAATATTTAATTTTTTATTTTATTAATTGGCTTGAAGCCATATAACATCAAAGTTTTATCTTATAGTCAGAAACCATACATCTTTAATTTTTTTATTTTGAAATTAAATAGCTAGATGCCATGTATCTTTATTTTCTTTATTAAATGGCCTGAAGCCATATAGTTTTGATTATGAGAAGGATCATTATATGGTTTGTTTATAAAAGAAAAATTATGACAATTAGAATTATAAATAATGTAGCCTAGAAAACTAATGACTATATAATGAATGATGTATTGGTAAAAGAGTTTATCTTTTCTCTTTATTTCATGTTACATTTAATTAATTTGAAATTCAAGTTTTACTTTTATCTTATTCTCATATATTTTCGACATTCAATTTGATATTTATTAATATTATAATTTTCTTATTACTAAATAGCCAGCAGTCATTACACTCATATTATTGAATGACATGAAAATAATAAATTATGATGTTTTTAAAGCCCTGAAGGCTTATGATTTAAATATGAAGTGACACAAATGATCTTTAAAAATATATAATTTCCAATATAGATTCTTGAAGACTAATGACTTATAAATAGTCCTGAAGGCTTATGATTCAAATTTTTCTAACTATATAGTTTGATTTTAGTCCTTATAGATTTTTTTTTTGTTGAATTTATAAATTTATGAATAAGTTTTGAAGCATTACATAATGTATACAAAGAAATAAAGTTTTTGAATAACAAAATATCGAGAAAATGTATATATTTTGTTCAAAAAAAATACTTCATATTTTGAAAAAAAATAAAAGTATAACAAGAAGTAAAGTATATCATATAGTGAAAAAAAAACAATATATGTTAATTCCTAAACAACTGTATATAGCATTTTTTGAAGAACTATATATAATCAAAAAAATTGATATAGTTCTACAAGAACTAATAACAAAAGATTGATATAGTTTCTGAAGAACTAGCAATTGAGAATGAAATTATGACTCACAAACATATATATTAGAATATTTGTTTATCAAAAGGTCTTAAGGTAATAGCACAATTGGATTGAAATTTATTATTATATCTGAATTAAGAAGCATTTGGATTTTCAAGTTAAAGATATGTTATTAGCTTATTATATGCTATTCACTCTATTTGAAATATAAAAATAAGAAAAATATATTTATATGACTCACACTTGAGGGGGAGATTATTGAAATACAAGTGTGAATTATGTTGGATGGAATTTGTTATTATTAATATTAATGTCATTCCTTATATCTCATATTCTTTTTGAAAAAAAGCTTCAGAAGAGTCAATAGCTTAACCTTCTATGAGTGCACAAGTTTCTACCATTGGGTAAAAGATGTAAAATAACGCTCTAGAAGAATTATATTATGTTTTATTATCCTGGAGATAAAATTCATAATTGATAACATATTCCTTATAAAATATTAAGGAGAAAAATAAATAATATAACATGGTAACAAGAAGTTTACCAATAATAGAAAATAATTTTACAATAAACCAGAAGTTTATACATTCATAGTTTGGCATGACCGGTCAGATCATCCCAGATCATAATGATGCAAAATATCATGAAAAATGTGTATTGTCATTTATTAAAGAACCGGAA